TTCAGTGTGACAGTGAATATGAGTGCTCACGTATTTCAGCAGCATTCATGGAGTCCAGATTATTCTGAAGATCCCAAGAGTCTTCCAGGAGTACACCAAAACTTTATTCTTGTCACATACACTGAGTCCCCACATGAAATGAATACAGCTTGGGAGAAAGATCCAGTAATTCTCCAGCTCCCAGACTGCAGTGGGGTCTGCACTGATTTTGTGTGAACTTCAGCAGTAAATTGATATAAGTTAAGAGACATCTGCAGCTCAGACCTTTCTTGACCTCCTTTCTGGCCTCTTGTTTTCACTTGGAAATTCTAAAGAGATTAAAGAAGTATTTGTATGGGCTAGCCTTGGTTACTAAGTTGTGTTGTAGTGCAAAATTGAAAAGAAAATTACAGTTGTTTGAACGACCCAGATTTCCAAGACTGCTAAAAGTTGTTGATGTCCATGATTATTATGAGGATGAACAAGTAAATCTGGATGTTCTGATGTTGGCAATGTGGGCTTTTTCTATATTTTGCCATAAGTCAGCATTAACTGATGCTAGAATATGCAAGCTGTCAGCAAATAGCTGTGAAGTAGAACATTTACATGTGAAAAGAAAAATTTCACATTCTGCAGACTATAAATGGAAAGGATTGCTTTGAGAAGTATCTTAAAAATATCAATCACATCATTAGTTTCTGGAAATATTTCTACTCAGTGACAGTCTACATAGAAAATGCACAACAGAAAGCACCTCTGCACTTTGCAAATTCCAGCCTCTCATTTAGTCATTCATGTGAAAATACAGAAATATGTATTTTAGTAGTTTTCTTCCAGCTGGATATAGCGCTTCTGTTTCAAAAGCAGTTAGGTTGATTTTTTTCCCTGTGTGGAAAATTATTTAATATTTCTGCCTTCTGTCAGGAAGGAAGTGGGGCATTTCTTCAAATTTTAAAATCCTTTGACCATTCACCACATACATACAGGTCTGATTTTTCTTGAAAAGTCAGTACTGACTCAGTCAGACACATGCTGCTAACAGAGTCACCATCACTGCTTTGTAGGACAGATGGATTTGTGTTGGGTGGGGGATTTCCAAGTACCAACCTAACCCAGACTTTTTTTGGTTCTGAGACTTGATAGAATCACAGCACTGAGCAGTGAACCTTCAGGGAAGATTTGTATCCTTTCTCCTTAATTATGTGCTTGGGTAGGGTGGCAGGAGAACAAGCCTTTCTTGAAATGAGTAATTGAATGTTTTACAATCAATACCTTAATTTATGTAATACCCACAGCCATATTTTAGTGTATGTAAATTTACAAGTGGTTTAGTGAATAGGTTATGATTGTTTTGAATATGAGTTCAAAGAGAATTTTTAAAACCCAATCTAAACAACACCAAGCTTAAACAAATAATTTCTTCGCTCACATAGATGTGGAAGGAAAGTTAAAGAAGGAGTGAAGAACATGCATTAATAATTTATGCACATTCATAGTATTTTTGATAGAACTTTATAATGAGGATGGGAGAAAAGCTGGGATGGTCAGGGTGACAGAAACCTGCCATGAAACAGGTTACTAAAGCAGCTGGGAATGTGGTGTGCACTAACTAGGAAGGAAAATCTCCAATTGTGAGAGAAAGATGAAGCATTTCTGATTCGTGTGCAGAAGAATTTCTAGGCAGTGTAAAGTGCAGTTCTGCAGGGAGTCTCCCTTGTCTTAAGGAGGGAAAGTCACAGCAAGTAAAACTTAATAATAGCTGTGGCTTTCATGGTAGTGTGTATGGCATATTATTGTTTACACAGGACCTGATTTAACTTTGAGTCAGCCTAGATGGCTAAACTCATCTAAGTATTGTTATTTAAGATACATAATTTAAGAAGGTTCCCTGCCTTTCTTTTATAGTATTTAGAAAAAAATTTTTAGTCTATTTTCTGCTTATAATGGTTTTCCATTATGGAACCATTCCCTTAGGTATAGAAGTAGCCCCCTTTTTTTTTTTTTTTTTTTTTAGTTTTCTCCTATATTTATTTTCATGTCTTATACAATAAGACCCTTAGCTAAAGACTGTAGTTTTGGATTATCCTTAGTTTTGTATCTTTCATGTACATCAGAGATAAGTCAGCGAACAACAAAACATGCAAAATCTTTGTAAATCACCTTATCCCATAGTTTAACTCACTGATTTCACATATATATGTATTTCATCTACATTAATGCTTTTTATGTGTTCCAGACAACCATTGTCTCAAAACAGGAGTTGTTGCTGCATTTGGGGAGTATTTAGTAATGAACACACAGAGAGGCAGCTCTGAATAAAAGAGATAGAGATGAATTTTAGATGAAGAAGGAGGGAAAGCTTAGACAATTGGTTATTTGGTTTTTTTCAGGAAGGTGATATTGGGAAATAAAACAGTACAGTGGAACTGATAAAGGAGCCTGGTACCTGATGGAGCAGAAACCATGGGAGAGACAGACACAGTTAAGTGCTCCCTGGGCAATAAGTGACCAAGAAACACGTTGTGGAACTCTGTGATGTTACCAGGTGAAGTGATGTCATGAAGAATGTGTACTCAATAGGAGATTGTTAGTGAAAATGTTACCCTATAAAAGTGCCATACAAATAAACCCCTATGTAAACACCTTGTATACTCAATAAAATGGGTTTCTGATCTCGACTCAGATGACCCCATCTCTCAGTTATGGATAGGTGATGTCTGAATAATTTGCCAAAAATACATTATTTTTTCTTTTCAAAAATTTAAAATATGGAAATGTTTGTTTCATGGTAAGAAAGATCTCGTTTCCATGCTTCATTAGCATAAAAATAGTTCATAATCTCAACTTTTTTTAGTTCCCAGAATGAAACATATATTTTCATTAGTCTTTGTTGCAAATAGTTTTATCACATGTACAGGCCTCACTGTTGTGAAGTCATATTAATAAGACCAATTGTTTTATAGTTCTGTGTAGCTTTACATTCCAGAATATGCATTGAAATTAGAGTGTATTGATATTTGACCATTTTCCCTAAACTACAAAACAGATCAAGCTGGTACTTGCTAGAATGTATTAGAAGTGAAATGGAAAAAAAACCCCCACCAAACAACAAAAAAATCAAGGAGAAAATAGAGCTAAAAAGCTAGTTGCAATTGTTTTGTGAAATAGTGTGCATTGTGTACACAAAGGAGTCTTGTCAAATAAGAATATTTGACAAGAGTATACCAGAGAAGTAGTATTGAAAGTATCCTTATGATTTCAGATGAAGAAACACCTACCTTGGAGATTATGGTAGATAGAGCTAATAAAGCATAGCTTGTAAAATTTTGGGTGAGAAGTCCCACAGTGCGTAGTGTAGCTGCTGATGTTAAAATTGTAGTGATGCTTCTGGTGTTGGCAAACAGAACAGGACACACTAACTCAAGAGGTTCTGTAAACTGGCTTCTTTCCTGGCAGAAATTGTTTGTGTTGCAGAGCAATGTAAGCTGAAGTTTTTATTCTCTACGTGCTACTTTATTGGGTTGCTGGTAGTTTTGGTATGAGGGGACAAGCAGCAAACCAGCAGGTATCCTGTTTAGACCAGACTGAAAGAATGGTGGTGGTCCCTCCCCACCATATTCATTATGCATAATTGGATTTTCCACAAGTGCAGTAAGCCTGGGAAAAAGGTGGGGGGGAATGGACATGTGGTTTGTAGTTTGTAGCTGTAGTTTTCTGCCTTTTTGGTTTTTTTAATGGGAAAAATGGTAATATACAATGGGAAAATGGAAACGGGAATGTATTTCTGGTTTTCTTGAGAATGTGTTTTTCTTATATTTCATTTATTTATTATACTTTGCAGCTGTAGTCTAGGCATTTGATATCCATACTGCCAGCTGTAATAATTCTGAGTCAGTATAAGTTTCTGCTTAATTGCATATTTTCTGCTAAATTACCCAAGAGGAGTGTGCAGGGAAGGGTATAAGTAGAATATTTCTTAGAAGAAAAACAACATATGTTTTCAGCAGCTCTTTTCTATTAAGAGGAAACTGGTCTTAAGTCTTGTGCCTCTCCTCCAAGTCATGTGCACAGGTTGTCTGGTAGATTTTTGTTTCTGCATGTATATGCAGTTGCCTAAGAGCTAAGTGATTTAAGCAGAAATAGTATCAAATCGGTAGATTAAAAAGGCTTCATAGTGGTTACAAAGAAAATAAATGACAGCTCTTGTTACTCTTCAAATGAAAATACCTCCCTCTCCAGATCAAAAGGCCAGTGGATACGTGGTTGTTTGCTTAGAGAAAGATCAGTTGTTGGATACACACACTGAAAAATGTAGAAGTGAATGACACCTCTGGTGTACTCTGTCTTCCAAATCGTACAGGCAGCAATTTCACTTCACACTCAAGTTACCATTTTGCCTACCACAGAATGTGTTTTCTCATTTTCCCTTTCATAATTTGGAGAAATGTGTGGATTGATGTATTGAAGTAGTCCCTATGTGAATAAACTAAAGAGTATAAAAAACTTAATACCACAAAACATGAACTGGATTTTTATGTGAATTTTTTTTTTTCCTATTAATTTATGCTTAAGTATACTGAACAATCTGCATATCTCAATGACTCTTAGAGGAGGGCAGTTTACCTGACTTACATTTGGGATTGTAGTTTGCTCTAGATACACTGGCAAGTAAAGCTAACACACCATTGTTGAGAACTGCAACATGTATTTCATTTCAGAAATATTGAGACGGGTCTGAAGTGTTTAAGAAAATCTCTGAATAAACAGAGAAGTAGTAAACCTGAGGAGAGCTGAAAGTAAATTTTTATCATCTTTTTTGACAAGTTTATATGTCAATCATACCTGGAATCTAGTGATGAATAGGTTCTGACTTCAGAGAGCTTACAATATCACATATTTTTTCAGGTTTATGATAATTTTCTTTGTAATTGTGTAGTGAAATTAACTGTAGTCCTCAAAAGAATTGATCATTAAAATATACTAAAAAATTCTATTCTGTTTCTTTGATATGTTTCATGTAGGAAAGAAGAGAAAGGAAACGAAAGCTGACCAAAGAAATGGCAGAAAAAGCCACAAGGGAGCTAGAAAAATTGCGGTTACAAGAAAAGGCTGACATAAAGTACAAAGAATGGTTAAAGAAGAAGATAGCTGAAGATGCAGAAAAGAAGAAAAAAGAGAAAGTATTAATGAACTGATCATTTATTTGGATGGAGTTACTTAATTTGTAATTTATTAAGATTTGATATATTCAGATCTTACATTGAATGTGTTGGCATCAAGTGGCAGTGTTGCACATGAAGAAAAAATCAAGAGTTGAAGTGTTAGTGCATTAAAGACACTGTGGTGTGGTCAGCAAAATAAGATGCATATTAATGCATTTTTGTTAATAGCCTTTGATGTTTTTCTCAGGGAAAAACTGGAATAACATGGAGGTTGGGGGTTGTTTGGTTTTTTGTCAGATTTAAACCAAAAAATGCATCTTTTCCATTGTTGGGAAGAGGTGTTTGTATTTGAAAAAATATTTGAAATACATTCAGCAGTCTGGAAATCTGAAAAAAAAAAATTACTATTTTGTGTATATTGTACAAGGTTTTATCTAGGAGTGCATTCAATATTTATATTTTTTTTTAGGAAAAAGAAAAAGAACGGGAGGCTGAGCTACAGGAGAAGAAAACAAGATCAGAGAAAATCTTTAAGGAATGGCTGCAAAATGCTAGAAATAAACCACAACCTGCTTTAAATGGTTATGGTTTCCCACATGGGAATTCTAAAGGTTTGTACATACAGTACACAAATATGTAGTGAGTTGGATTTGTGGTTCCTTCCTTCCAATATTTTAATGTAAAATGAAGTCTGTTTAAGATACTCATCTAGTATCTAATTTTGGCACATAGGAATGATTACCTATACTATGGTATAAGTCAGGGAAACAGATTGAGACCTTTTGTATATTTTTCTTGGCCTTTTTTTTTTTATTTGGGAGGAAAATTACATTATTTGAGATAATTGTGTGTTGTACTAAATTATGATTTTATTTGATTTTTCTTACTGAGCATAGGAATCACTAGAGCAAATCACTGGGTCCTGTGAAGCAAATTCATTATGTCAGCATCCTTGTAAAGTTACTTTTCGTGTTACAGAAGTTGTGTCACCTTTGCACACTTGAATCCCCCGTAGAAAAGAGGTGGGGTTTTGACACAAGAGCCATTAGAAGCTGACAGAAATCCTGTCTGAAAACGGAGATGGGCATCAACCTATTTTCTGAACTAAAATTTCCTTTCTGTTTTGCTTTTCACACCTCCTTGGCTTCTGTAATCCTATTCCTTTTTTTGTTTGAAAACATGTTCTTTTTCTATGCAACTGAAATAGTTACTTCTATTTGAGTTTGCAACAGCAATAGTTTTGAGACCAAAACTCTGGTCTCTGAATGTTTAAGGAAAATATATAGAGTAGGTGAACAACCTTTACTCTTTTGCTTACATTTATTTGTAAATAGTGATATACCTTGCCTTTATGTTTTGGTTGCACTTTCATTACATTCTGACAGCTGCAATCATTTATTTAAATGACTTTTGAAAAATATTTGTCTACTCGTGTCATTCAGTATAATGTATTACAAACTTTGAAGTGTATCCATCATGTGGTTGGGTAAAATAAAGTAGCCCATTTGTAGACACTCACAGTTTTTAAGAACACAAAGGACTGAGAATTCAGCCTGCTTATTATTTTAAGTAGAGGTGAAGAATATCCCAGTTACTGTTTAAAAAACAAAAAAGTGGAATATTTATTATTTTCACTTAAATTATGTGATGTGCCTGTGCATCTTTCTCTGAAGATGTTGTATTTAGTCCAGATAATTATTATAACTGCTTGCATTGGAAAGTTTGTAGTGTAAATATTCTTTCTTAGTTGTGTGTGCTTTCTAAATGTTTTAGGGAATGCTGATAGAACTTTGTATCCAGCTCCAGCATATTGTAACCCCATTCCTTGGAAACCGGTACACGTGCCTCTCCCAAAGGAAGAGAGTGTTCTTACCACGAAGAAGAGTAAGAGACCTGTGTCTTGTCAACCACATTCATCTTTACCAACAGTGATTTCCAAGCCCAAGAGTAGCCCTTGTAATGGATCCCTGTGCAGAAAGAAGTCATAGTCCAAAAAAAATGTTGTTACAATCTTGAACAAACTGGGGCATAAATGTGAAGTTCTATGTAGTTATATGTCCAAAGCAGATTGCTTTGTGCCTTTCTTTTTTTTATTTTTCCCATTTTTGTGAGCAGGTTTTGTGTTTACTTCTAGTTGACCAATCAGGCTTTTAATGTTTTTTTCTAGATTGCATTTTATTAAAAAAAAGGAAAAGATAAATTGTAATTGTACTGTACATCAATATTTAATATTACCTCAATATGAATAAATTCACAGGATTGTTTCTTCCTTTCCTCGCTTGTTGCTGAAGGAGTTCTTTTGTACATGTAATTATTCTTTTGGGCAACAGTATTAACTAGGTTATTTTAAAGATGCTATTTGTGACAGATTTTAAAACAATTCTTGGCTTAATGTGTAAGGAATTGAAGGCCTGCATCAGTTCCAGGGTTATCATGTGACTGGGATTACAGAGATACAGTGGGATAGTTTGTATTGCTGGAGTACTGCAATGAATGGATGCAGGCTCTTTAGGGAAACACAGACTTTTTGCTGGACCTGATATGTACAAACCAGGGAGAACTGGTCAGGGATGTGAAGTTTGGGGTCAGTAATGGCACACATGACTCTTGGGGATTTGGTAGGATGCACCTGAGAATGCTGAGGAAGTGGCAAATGTCATTATAAGGATACTCTGAATTATCTTTGAGAGGTCTGGTGATTAGGGGAGGTTCCTGAGAACTAGAAGAAAGCAAATGTTAGCCCAGTCTTCAAGAAGGGTGTATATGCAGAACTACAGGCCAGTAGTCAGCCTCACCTCAGTCACCTAGACAGATGTTGAATGTGGCAAGTGCAGCCAGCAGCCTCCTGGGCTGCATGAGGAAGAGAATTCCCTAAAGGAAAGCAGTCTGTCCCCTGTACCATTATTATTTGAGACCACATTTGGGGTGCTATGCCCATTTCTGGGCATGCCAGTAAAAGACTGATGATATCCTGGAGTAAGCTCAGTGAAGGGCCACAAAGATGATTAAAGGATTTCAGCATCTGACAGACAGAAGCTGAGAGAGCTGTGACTGTTCAGTGTGAAGGAGAGAAAGTTCAGTAATGTCTGAACAATGTGGGTGGTGAGTGCAAATTAAAATATAGGAAATTCCATTCAAACATGAGGCAAAAATTTTTACAGGGAGAGTCATCAAAGGCTGGAACAAATTGCCAAGTGATGTGGAGTTTCCATTCTTGGATTTACTCAAAACCTGACATAGCCCTGAGAAACCTTCTCCAGTTGGCCCTCTTTTGAACAATGGAGCTTGACTGGACAATTTCTAGAGGTTCATTCCAATCTCAGCAATTCTGTTACTAATGGTGAAAAGGAAAAAGCAGAAATAAAGAAAACTTATTTTTCTTCTTGTAGTTGTATTACTTTGAGAAATGCCTTGTTATCCTTGAAAAGTTACAGTATTAAAAACTATATTGCCTATTATAAAATTTACATGGTAAAAAAGCACATTAGGTCACATTCTGGAATGTAAGTGTTCTATTGATTCTAGTTCTAGTCTTAATAGAATATTTTAATTTCTTCAGAGCAGGTTGTGCAAAATGGTAAACTATCTCATGCCAAGTTTATACTTATTACTTGTACCATTACTTTGTGTGAATCAGTTTATACAATATGCCTGTGTCTGTTCTCTCTAGATAGTGGCAAATGCTAACAAAACTGCAACACCTTGCACTAATAGATTATTTGGTTTGTGTTTGCATTTAGACTTTGTGAAAGCCTTAATTTTACTGTACGCATTTAGAAGTCTGGAGTCTGTAAAACACGTGGAACGTCAAACTGTGTTTCTGTTAAGTAGCAGCACACAGAAGTCTGCACATTATCTTCAGGATGCAGAACTCTGTGTCCATCTTTTTCTGTAAGGACCTCTGCAATAGATGGGTATGAAAGCAGTGGATCAATAGTTGTTAATCTCACCATCTCATCTTGCCAAATGGAAATGTCTAATCAGACTCAGAAGTTTCAGAATTATGTAAGCTTGTGAGTGTTTAAGATGTAGGGGAAGTATTTTACTGTAATGCAAATGGTTAATTTTGGATTAGTTTACAGAGATTTCTTTGGACTCTGATTTAGTTGAACAGTCATAATACCATTTTTTGGTGCTTTCTCTAACAGGTAGTCTGAATGTGGCTACCAGTAAGGTGTGTTGACATAATTATCTGAGTGTATATTTATGGCTTTTCGCATTTATTTGCTTGTAGTGAAATAAAATTAACTAGTGGACTTACAACCCCTAAAATAGAAGCTTTAAAATGAGGCCCTTGCTGTAGCTTATCCATAGCATTGTAAAGACAGTTCTGTCCTAACTAAATTACAAAAAAAGGCTAAGGCAGGATGGCTGCTGAATGCACATATAGGCCCAATTCAATCCACACAGTGATTTTACTGAAGAAGAGAAATAATATTTGGATTTTTTCCAACAAGATATCAACTGCACAATAAAATGGGCTGGCCTTGTAGCATATTTTTAGATTGTATGTTACAGAAGGCTATCATTTTGTGGTGTTGTGGCAAATCATTTGCACCATTCCTTCTCAGATGTTAGAAGATAAAATCTTGACGCTTGTTTTTTGCTTAAAGAGCATTCTGTATTCTGTTATTAAGGTCTCTCCTGGATTTCTCTGCTCACAAAATTTCACAGTAAATCAAGTTATGGAATCTCAAGTTACTCACTGGAACAAATACAAGATATTGTATCTTGATGCCTATGCTGCTAAAATACATGAAATTACTTCATTTTTTTTCGTCCTCATCATTTTTTTTCATCATGCAGAACTTCTGGTTGTAAGAATTCATAGACCACTTCAAAATAATGACTGATGCATCCTTCTAGGATTCACAGCTTTTCCATTTTTCTATCTGTTGGTTATAAATAGAATGCCACACTCAACCTCCAGAAGTCCTAAAGAGCCTTTCATGAGTAAGAGGTGACTGTGGTTGCATTTGTAGGAAGTTTTCTGGTTAATGTAGCACAATGCAACTCTACTGGTGGTGTTTTTGTTACTGGTTCTGCTGTGGAGCCAAGGCTTCACCTGAACTAATTAACCATTAACATCAGATTATAATCATGCCCTTGCCAGTGTAATGTTAAGTTGTAAAATTAATTCATTAATATATCCTTTAAAAGGTCAAATGAAAGAGCAGTCACAAGTTCTGATATGACTTTCACTGGGATATTTATGTGAGTAAATATGGAAGACTTCAGCCTTTACTGCTGTGGTCGAAGGTGAGTGTTCCATAGTGCTGTTACCTGGGCAACATCAGGAGCCACATTTAAATTCAATACCAAAAAGGAAATCTGATCACCCTGATCTAGTAAAGCACATGAATACTTGGTAAACTTGAAATGTGTTGAGGAGATCATTGATAAAGAAGGGCTAAAGCAGACATGTCTGGGATTTGAGGCCTCTGACCTAAAGCTTGTTCAGTTACCAAAGCCTCCATTTCATATGTAAGGTCATGTCTCTGTTTTCATATGTGCAACTCATTTTACAACGGTATACTGGACAATTCTATAAAATTGTAGCTAAGGGAGGCACATTTTTGGAAAATGTGAAGGTTTTTTCTCAGTTATATGGACTTAAATATTTGGTTGGTCCAGTTTACTGACTGAAACAGGAATTGCAAATATCTAATTCACAGACGAATATGGATTTACAGAAAATTGTCAGGATTTGGAAAGTGATAGACTTGGAGCTCTTAAAATCTATTGAACTTTTCTGTGGACAGATGCAAGGGTGCATTCAATTATATTTCAGTTATATTGATGCTAATGATATCATTACAAAGGACTCAGGCTTTGGTTTCTTTCACAGGACTTACTACTAAAATTATTTCAGTATTATTAACACTAAACAACAGAAAGTACCTTAACCCAGCTTGATAAATGTAAGTGCTTTTGTGTATAGGTCCTGTGGAAGATGGGTCATTGACTTTTGCAGGTAATTTGTTTAAACAGTGCAAGGTTTGTGTTTTTGAGACAAAGGCAACAAGTTGTTAATTCATCCAGCAATGCCAAGATGTTAATAGATGTTAGAATGTTTTCTCTGTAATTTGAGTCTGACTGAAACAACAAAACCCCTTCAGGTTTTATTATACAATACCAACATATGTGGTTTTACAGGTGCAAAATCTGTAATGTGTAGCTCCTTTCTGGTAAATCAGGGAAAACTCTTCAATTGTCTCTTTACATTAGAACATCCATCTTTACATATCAGTTCCTGGAAGAGATGTAGAATATCAGTACCCAGGAGGAAAGAAGGATGGCTGTGATATGCCTGAGATTGAAGAGCCCTTCAAAGGTACTGGTAAAATACATACCAGCCTTCCCTAACAAAACTGATCAGGTTGTAGAGGATGGATCCAAGGAGTTCCCCTGTTGTTCTTGCTGATGCACTAATTTAAAGGGCTAATGCCAATTACTTGATTTCCAGTGATCAGAAGTGGTTTCTCTCTTTGTTAGGATATATCTGTTAATATCTGTTCTGGGTTGAGCATAGCTCACAGTACACTGAGTTAGACAATGACAGATATACATAATATGTGTATTGGGTCTGGCTGAGCTGGAGTTCATTTCCCCATTGCAGTCTTCACAGTGCTGAGCTTTGCATTGCCAGCTAGAAAGGTGTTGAAAACAAAATTGCAAAGACAATTTCCATACCAAATGTAACTGCCAGGATGCAGGAAACAAAGGTGAAAGGTGGATGGATGGCAGCTGAGGCTGGGCACAGTATGATACATCTGCTGCATTATTTATTTCACATGGTATCAGAATTTATGCAGTCTTGAACTGGGAAAAATAAGTTATTTTGCCCATCCAGCACTTTTTCCTGTGCCACTCTGCAGTTTGTCAGAGGTGTCCCAAGCCAAATATGCATGACAACAGCTTAAAGTACCCTCATCAGTAGAATCTGGACAGTGATGTTTATTAAGGTAAGTGCCAAAGCTGCTGCACTGATACAGGGTTGAACATTAAAGTTTTTGGCTGGCACTTGTTTGTAAGGTTCCAGCCCATTGCAGCTGACATAAGCTGTATGAAACTTCCTTGTATGTACTTCAGACTCAAGTTTATACACCTTAGTTTTGTTTCATGTCCAAATCCTTTTACTTCTCTGGAAGGGAAATGGGAGGTTAAAACTACCAGCATTCTTGGTGTGGGGAAAATGGGTAATATAACCCCAATGAATTTAGCAAGGAATGTATTTTCATACTGGTTTAATCAGCTAGTCATACAAAATGTAA